TTTTTTTATTGCCTCTCCGTCACTTTGCTGCAAATTGAAAGCCAAGGTCACAAAGACAAAATACTGTAAATGTTCATTGTGAGAGCGCAGAGCTTGCACAAAGATCCATTCTGATTTGTCACATAGTTGATGTTTACCCAAATGATGGAGTTTTGCAGGCCAACAGGCCCAGCTGTGCACACAACGAATGAGGCCAATTCAAACTCAAATCTCCCAAGTTTGCACTGGGAGAGCTGTGTCATCTAGCCTACAGTGCCAAAAACAGCCCTGTCCTCAACCTTATCAATCAGCAAAAAATAAATAAATAAACTAAGAAGAAATGAATGTGCACTAGGCAATATATAATTTTGCTTTGTCTGTTAGCACTTTTAACTAAAACCTATACAAATATATATTTGGTGAAGACATTAGTTATCTATTTCAGAATGTATCAAACTCAAATTAATATTTTTATGTACAATGATACTGTCTTTACATCAGTAGTTAGCCCCCTATTTCAATGGATAACCTGCCTGCTATGAAATACAGTGGTGGGTAATGCTAATCCAAAAAGTAGCTCCACAATTTCTAAAGCACTTATGTAAATATTTAGGTCTGCAACCTCAAACGCGCTTATGCCATAGAAAAAACTAGTGGAAACTAATTTTAGAGCACAAGTTCAATTTGACACTTAATAGCTGGCAATAATCCATGTACAATATATGCACATTGCCAACTAGTGGTGTATGAACTCTTTTACAGATTATTCCTACAACTGCCAGTTGCTGGGGATGTGAGTTCCTGAAACAGACCTTTAGCTCCTGGTGTAAAATTTAAAAGTTGTTGAGGGTTGCTAGTTAGGCTGCTTCTTTGTCTTTTTCTTTTGTTTGTTGTAGATTTTTCATTAAAGAAGCATCAATAAAGTAATTTTAAAACTGTTTATTGGAAAACTGAAGCGATGCATTCTGGGTACATGACGGATTTGATTTGTGACGGGAAACGAAAGCACGGAGTACAGGAAACTATCTTCCCTTCAAAATAAGAGCTTGGATTTTAAAGTTTTCCATGTAGTTGCTCCAGTTGACCAGTAGATGTCAGTCTTCATCAGCATAACATCTTTAAATCATTTCTGKGTCTSTAACCCCYTTGGCCSATTGCTTRGACCAATTACGTCAAGTTTTGAGCTCCAGCGTTTAAACTTTTTTTAAAGGAGCTCCGATTGTAAAGTAAAATAAATCAATACATACAAAATGTTAGTATGGATCACAAACGTTAACTGTTTTAGCTGGGACAGGGAGTTCTAAACACTGCCTTCCTGCTATGTAAGCAGACACAAAGCATTGTGGGAAATGAGAACCATGACCCAAAGCGACAGTCAGCAAGGATGTAGTATACCTTTCCATTAAGTGTGTTTATCTGGGAGGGGTGCTGTTGGACAGATCATGTGCTTTGTGGTTCATTGACAGCCTTACCTTCTGCTGTTCAAGATAATGATGACTGATAGATAATTAGTTATTCATGGTACTGCATTTTAATTTTAGAAAGCYCAAWTCRGCTTATGAATTACAAAAATTAGTAAGACAGCTAAAGCGCAAATGAAATATTTAGGTCTGTAGTTAGCAGATTTACCCTTTAGSGGACTGGTGCCCACCACTGATGAAATCAAATATCTGTCAGGATGACTTTGTAGGGTCTTGGCAAGACCTTCAGCTGTGTATTAAGAAAGCTGTGGGCTCCTGCAAAAAATGTCTAAGAGTTCTTTGTCGTTTATCATGGTGACACTGGGTTCAGGAACATGGTTGACAGCCGTGACAGTGACTTGCTCACACTGGTGGTTGGTCATGAAGAATTTGATGCAGGACTGACCACACTGACCTCATGCCATAAAACTCTGTTTCTATGCAGAAAATACTAGGTAGAGCTAATTTAGTGTTTGTTAGCAATGCTCGGCCATAGCAATGAAACGAGGAATGMGACATTTTGTGTTTAGTTGAAGTTAAACATGAAACAATCAAAGTTAATTACAACTGGCCGTTTGAGGTCTGCCATAATGATCATGTGGCCCTTGGTGAGAATGAGTTTGACACCCTTGATGTAGAGGACTAATGACTAACTCCAAATAAATGGAGACACTCACTGCTCATTTTAGTTTTGACTCTGTGAAAAATTAGATCAGTGGTGCAAATAAAGTGTAAACAGAAGAATCAATACCAATACACATCTTGGTATCGATAGTATCAGTACTTGGATTGATACTTCCACCTTTAATTCAGGCAGTGTGCAGTTAGGATTAAGGTAAATGTGTGAGAATATCTACACAGTAGCAGATTTAGCCCCACATTGCTATACTGTTGGAGCAATGATAACAAAGGATGGTGTTTGAGGCTGTGGGGAAACTGTGAGTTCAAGTTTCCCAGCAGGTCCATGAACCACCYTCAACCATTAACCCGCACCATTAGATCCAGCCAGCTGCACACACGGTCTGAGTATTCTCCCTCTAAAGTACTCTTTATACTGCAAAGCCCTCTCTCCCTTTTCTGACATTCAAGCCGGTATCGGCGGGGAGCCCACAAGATGAATGACCCTGCAAATGCAGCATTAAAAAGTCATAAACGGGAATACCTTCCGGGTGCAGGAGCTCCTCGGTGAAGCGGGGTGGCCCCTTTTTTTCCCCTGCATACTAATGGCTTGAGAACAGGTGAGAAAGAAAGACCTCAGCTATTTGTGCTGTCATTCTAGGGTTACCAAACGGACTCACCCAGCCAACAGGAAAYTATTCCTGTTGTCCAACAACCTAAAACTTTAGCCTTGATTGACAGAGTTTCAGTTTAAAGCTGACGATTCACAAGGAAGCCGTAGAAATGAAGAGAAATAACTTTCAAAACTGCTGAAGTCCACCAGATGATACCATCTGTATGGATGAACGGAAGAGAGTTTCTTTGAGGCTGCTTTTTCCTCTGTGACCTTCATCAGCACTGACTCATTGGTTTCACAATGCAGAGCTGACATTTTCATTGGCCCAGGGATCACTGACGGAGCACGGTGTTGGCTCCTGTGAGATTGGACCACTGAACAATTGGACAGGGGTCCAGTGAGTCCTGGTCTCRTGTGGACCTTTTTGACAGCACGTGATTTTGTCTGGTTCACACAAATGCATTTTGTCAGTCACTATCTGAGTGACACTGCTGACACAGACCTGTCTTCTGCTGCATATTCCACTCATGTTGTTGGTCTATTCCYTTCACAGCATATTTAGTTCAGCGAAAACTGATAAGAACCATGCCAACAAGGAAGCATGCCTCCATATTTCAATTCAAATGAGCACCTGCCAAGCTGGATAACTTTTATTTGACACACTCAGAGTTCCCTTAAGCTATTGGCTCATTCGGCAGTTCAAGAAGAGCTGTTCAGTGTGATGTTTTGAGCCAAAAATACATGTCATATTTGATTGTAAAAAAAACTCAGTTGAGCTCCCGCAGAATCGTAGAGTCTTTGTACCAGGTCGTGGATGTGGAATATCTTCGTAATGCACCACCCGTTTCAGACGTAAAACATCCCACTCCAGCACACAAACACAGTCTATTGTTTCAGTCTGATGCCTTCAGCTCATTTCACTCAAGCCCACACAGCAGTCTAGCATCCTCCAATAAATCAGCCTCATGCTCTCCCACAGGCCTCACCAGTCTGGCCAGCACCCAAAGACACTCTCGTGTGCATACGCTTAAAATGAATACTAATTTCACTGCAACATGAGCTCTCAAATTAGAATACTGTGGCAGTTTTTGATAGGTGTGTTGGTCTAGATGCCACATTAGCAGTAAATGTGAGCAGGTGTATGTGGCTGTGTCTTAAAACTGTTTTCCTTTTCATAATTGTTAATAAAAAATATTGTACTGGTTGTAACTTACAAATATCTAAACATACAACGTTTAGAAAATTCACGATTCAGTTCGGTTCAATACTTTAGTCTCACAGTTCGATATTTTTTCAACACAAAAAAGAGAAATTTCCATGCCCATTTTAACTTGTAATTTATTTAAATTAATTATGAACATTTGTTTAACCTCAAGAGTCCAGTTTTTAAA